TTTTGGCGTAATTTATACTTTATTTTACAGTCGTTAGATTTTAACGGACACCTTTGTATAATATATTCATTTTAAAAAGGACTTTACCGGTTTGGAAAACATATGAATCATTTTTAACGGCTATGGGTGTAGTAACATTCAGCCAAAGACTGATCGAAGTTGTTTATATAACATCAAAACAAATGTATTTTGTAAAGCTTGATAAGAGGAGCTCGATGGCGCAAGTGGTTAGCGCGTTCGGCTGCGATCGTTGAATTTAAGCAACTTTCGCAGTGGTCGGTCATTGGATGGGTGACCAAAAATTACTATCTCGAGCTCCTCCGTGCTTCGGAAGGCACGTTAAGCCGTTGGTCCCGGCTGCATCTGCAGTCGTTAGCACCCACCAATCCGCACTGGGCCCGCGTGGTGGGTCATGGCCCAATCTCTCTATTCCATCCATAGGGAAGGCCTGTGCCCCCAGGGGACATTAATAGGCTGATGATGATGATAAAATAAATTTTTTTTTGTTACACTGTGGTATTAATATCCATAAGTATATTATCATTTTTACTACATGCAATGCTCTAAGGCTAAGACAAATATTATAGATGGTAGGCGACATCATAAAGTCTATTGCCATACATTTTTCACCAAACACACACTAAAAATCTAAAATATGGTTATAATATACATAGCCAAAATAATAAGCTTTCTTTAGTTAACCAGAGTTTAAAAATTCTCTCTAATCTGTGGCTCATTCACACACAGATTCTGTCACAGAGTACCTTATTACAACCGGAAATGCATAGATGATACCTGATTTTAAAAGTTACTCTTACGCATTAACTTTAAAAACAGGCAATCTATTAATCTACATGCTTTGTATACCTGAATGTAATACATAATTTCGGTACTTGGTTTGATTTCCCTAGTTTTCTACGTAACTTATTTGTTTTTTATTATTTTAATATCTATGTACCTATTTGCAAACATAACCTCAAAATCATTCGGTGTATATGGTATATATAAGTTCTCAGGGGTGTCCGTCAATAATATTCGTTTCTACAGTAATCTATATAGTAAAAATGAAACCCGTTTTCCGTTGTCACGACATAACATGAAAACGGCTTGACCGATTTGGCTGATTTTTTTTTGTAGTTTTCTAATACTCTGTACAAGGTTCTTACGGAAAAAAATATAAGGAAAATCTCTCAGAAAGATTGAAAAATATAACGTAACAAATGTCAACGTCATTCAATTTAAAACAAAAAATCTGTGGTAATCTGTGACACCACATCGATAACCGCGCTGACAAATGTCAACGTCATTCAATTTAAAACAAAAAAATCTGTGGTAATCTGTGACAGGAACAAACACTTCTTAGCAAACAAAAAACTTCTTAGTCTTTTAAACAAAACGAACTTTATCAAAAACTTAATAAAATTATTGTTAGCGCGGTTATGGACTAGCTGACCCGGCGAACTTTTGTACCGTATAGTTTATCAAAAAGCATTAGAATAGAGATAAGCAGTGAAGGGTATAGAGGCTATTAGTTGCTTTCTAGAGCGCGCGTGGTGTTGAGCTCAGTGTTTACTTCAAAATGCAAAGTTGTTCAATAGCGATTTGTAAAAATATGAGTGAAATTGAACCCTATGGAATAAACACTATTATGAAAATATATATGTTGTTTTTTATTTAATAAAAATTAGTAAAGTCCTCAGGTATGGCGAGACCAGGGAAATAAGGATTCATTTTTATATGGAGGATATTATAGATTCCAGTTCAAATTGAATAGGTACTCATACATAAGATAGGTCAGCTATCCTTACTAATATTATAAAGGCGAAAGTTTGTTTGGATGGATGTATGGATGGATGTTTGTTCCTCTTTCACGCAAAAACTACTAAACGGATTTTAATGAAACTTTACAGTAATGTAGCTTATAGATCAGAATAACACATAGGCTACTTTTATCCCGAAAAAAATGTTAGGTTCCAGAGGGATTTCCAAGAAACTTAGTTAACGCAGACGAAGTCGCGGGCGACCTCTAGTACAAAATAAAGTAGTGCATCAAAGCTACGCTAAGGCGGTACGAAGTTCGCCGGGTCAGCTAGTTTATAATTTCGAATCTAGGAAACAATTTTTCATGATTATTGGTCTTTAGGCCAAACATGTATGGAATCTGAGCAATATCCTTTGATACGCATCGACCCTAACAGGTCGACATCAAGTTTAATGCTGCTTTATAATATCATTCTGAGTGTAGGTCCTACGTTCACAAAGATTGCCTTGTTTGCCTTGTTGACTTTTAACTTTGATTGACTTGTTCGATTTAACAGACGGTGCTCTTTTCTACTTGTTTTCTGCATTTTCTACTAAGCCTTAAATACTGCTATTATACAAAGGTAGGTTACTGTGACACTAACATTTATTCCTCTCGAACCAAAGTGAGTCAGTTTCTCTATAAGTCATTCGTCATCATATATATCTTTGATCGAATCTAATCTTATTCTAATCTCAATAATCATCTCACTCATTGGGAAATATTTTAACTTTTTTATTTACTACTAGCTGTGCCCCACGGTGTTACCCGCGGTTTATTACGGATATTTTCCCGCAGTAAAAGTAGCCTATGTGTTAATCCAGGATGACAGCCAACTCAATACCAAATTTTATTGAAATCGCTCCAGCCGTTAAGACTTGAAGAAGTAACAAAGACCAACTATGTAAATTTTAATGTAAAAGGCCGCTCAAGTGGTGACGTTAACATAAAATATCACGATTTGACTATTAAAAAGGCTGACAGAGTCACATTCCTGGGAATTGTATTAAACGAAAGCCTAAATTTTACTAGTCATGTTGACAAGGTATGTACTAAAATTAATAGATTTGTCTACGTATTGAGGAATTTGTCTAAAAAAACGTCTCTGAAAGTGACCCTGTCTGCTTACCACGGTTATGTAGCGTCTATTATAAATTACGGGATTCTTTTGTGGGGTAATAGTACAGACATTCAAAGAGTTTTCATTGCCCAAAAGAAATGCGTGAGAGCTATATGTGGTAAAGGTCCCTTTGATAGTTGTCGACCACTTTTTATAAATAAAACTAGTTTAAACGGGATAATGCACGAAACTTTATTTATTTATTGACGTTTCGTAGCCTTTCCAGGCTTCGTCGTCAGAATAAAACTTTTGTTTAATTTGTCGAGCTACCTTCGAAAGACTTTTATTGAGCGTTTGGTTATTTCATCGTTCGATTTTTAAGTTTTATTGTCTATGTATGAATTTATTATTTAATTTACTTAATAAAGTATTTTATTTAAAATTCTTGTTTGTAATTTTGCGTTTATTTATTTGACCCTAACTACCGTAAACTACCACCGGTTCCAAAATTGGGAGACCTTCCTGAGAAGAACCGGCGAAACAAACTCAAGAGAGGCTTTCTATCTCCTTCTTATGTTAAATTATGCAAACAAAAAGAACTAATAGTATCTGATGGTCTTGCAGTGTGTGCTCGGGGTTGGGATTTTATCTCCTGTATAATAGGTTCCCAAGCTGGTGGTATATACCAACCATCTTCCCTATTGAAATTTGGATATTTTTTAATCTCATTCAGCGTCAATAAATAAATAAAGTTTCGTGCATTATCCCGTTTAAACTAGTTTTATTTAATGAGTGATGTGCGTGAAAACCTAAGAAACAAACACTTTTTATAAGTTTAGGTTTACTCACAGTCCCTGCTAAATATATATTAGAAATATTTAAATTTGTCAGCCAAAACCCGGGGTTATTTCATAAGGCCAAAGATATATACCCCCGAAACACTAGAGATGGTGATAGATTTGTTTTGGACTTTGCACCAAAAACCTCGGTGTACCAGAAAAGCTCGTATAACATGTGTATTAAGGTATACAATAGAATTCCAATTCAATTCAAGCACGGACCTATAAAATTAATGGCAAAAAAGTTACGGGACTGGTTAATAAGTAAATGTTTTTATAATATAAATGAATTTTTAATATGAAATAATAATTATAATTTTGATGACATAATGAAGAAATGGCTGTTGACTTAAAAAAATTGACATGTATTATATGATTATTATGTGTAATATAATGTATAGTTATTATGACATTTGGAATGCAACTATAACTCAATTTAAATTTGAATTTTTAGATATTTTATTAGTATTTTGTATGCTCTTTCAAGGGCGAAACATATGGAACTTTTTAATATTGTTTACCAGCTGTAACAAACTATGTTTCATGCAAATAAACTTTCATTTCATTTCATTTCATTTCATTTCATTTCATTTCACAAACGTACACACTCGCAAACTTTTGCCTTTATAATATTAGTGTGATGTTTCCTTATTACTCGAAGACACCTATTTGTTTTTAAAGGGTATATAATTCCCAGATGATCGTATATCAGGTTAGAAGGATCTGATGTTTGGATATTGGACAAATCGAGGAGACTCTTCAAAAAATAAAGAAAAAATATCTTAATTACATTAGCTATATAAGGTAATTAAGATATTTTTAAAAAAAAGCATTCATTTACTTTAGATTTTATTTGGTTGCCACGCAAATTAAGTTTGTCACTAAGCGTTATAGTGAAGCGGAGAAGTACATAGGAAACTCATCAATAATGAACATCCCTAAATACTTCAATATTTTGTGAAAGATAGCTATTATAGCACAGACAAATTTCTTAAATACCCACTACAAACTGATTAATTGAATCTAAGGCTTCGATAAATAAAACTGACACTAAAGTTTGTTGTATTTTTTATTTCTTGGAAGTCATGAGGGACAGGTATCACTTTTAAAGTTAATAACAAATTTGGGTCGCGCGTACGAAACGTAGGACTCCATACACCAGCGTTATAACTTGTAAGAGATAAATAAAGGTTTGATTTAATTTTCCATAAGTAATTTATTTTTAACATACTATATTTTACATTAAAAAGTATAAAACACTTTTTTATGAGATCACTTTGATACGGTAATAATATTATACAGTATTCTATCTTCATACAAACGGTCGGAAAGCGAGTCATACCTACGCCACTCGAGTTCGAAGGGCTCTCGGCGGGCACCCAGTCGCGAATGCGCCGCCGCGCCGCAACGACGACCGAACGGTGTGAATTGTTTTTTATGCAGTTAGCCGTGCTTAAACGTGCGTTTTGTATTGTAAATATTTGATTTAGTTAAGTAGATACCTACATAATTTAGTATGGAAAAGAACAAACGACGATCAATATCGTACAACAGCACAATTGCTGTTTATGGTTGCTTGAACTCTTCAATAACACACCCAGAGATATAATTTTTTAAATTACCTGAAATATTGGAAAGGTGTCTTACCTTTATAGAATACTTTTTATATACCTATCTACTAGTATGTAATTTGTTTCTAATATTTAGGTATTTCGGTTTTTCCATCGGGCAAAATATCTGGAATAATATATAAATAAGTGGTTAGGATGAAAAAAGAGACAAACGAGTAATCTACCTATATTCGCGTTAAAAACAAAACTACATAAAATACTGAAGGCGGGCGGCCCTACCGCGTGCTAAAGCAGCGCTCGGCCGTAGGCATTTATTTTCAAGGACAGGGCGGAGTCACAATACTGTATAGATAATATTACCGTGACTGTGATGAGTAGAGTCCGCGCCCCGTATTACACCGACCCACGTCGACAATGTCGAATTAAATTTTATTTCAAATTTGAGATTATTTCATTTTAACTATTTCCATTGTTACATCTTAAGAATCTTAATATTTACACAAACATTAAATTTTCTTTGAGGAGAACCGGTCTTTTTACGATACGTACGTATATACAATTTATATCCATTCAATGGACAGATCCAAACATTTAAACGATAACACGAAATTAAATTTTATTCAATCGAGTAATACTGCAATCGGTTAATGTGTAAGATTAACAGTAATCATAATATATACATTCGTATCAGTTTTCGTCAAATCAAATCGGACGTTGTTACATTTTAAACGTCAATCGAAAGATGGCACACTATTTAGATTAAACTAAAACATCATACACAATAATCAATCGCCTACAACCTCGTTTCTCGTGAGCACGGACATTCGAACGCAGTAAAAACACTACGGTCGCAGCGATGTCCTCCTGACGCGTCATTATCAAACCTATCTGTAAGGTTTAAAGTTTAAATTCACCAAAATGTTTATTTTCACAAAGTTCGTTAGTAATGTCTATGTCGCGGTAGTTTCACAGCAGTAGCGCGGCGGCGGCGGGGCGGCGCGGGCGCGCACTCCGGACGGCCGCCAGCGCGAGGGTGAGGGCGCACGCCCACACGACGGCGGTGTGAGCTCGCAGCGTTCCGCTCATGTTGCGACTCAAAGTCGCCGCCATCTTGTCACCTGTAAAACAAGAATCAAAGTTTACTCTGAGGTTACGCTTTACCTCTAAAAAATTCAAAATTCAATATCGTTTATTCAGTCTAGGCTGTTACAAGCACTTGTGAATGTCGAAAAGCTACGCTATCGGTTCGCAAATCTACGGCGGGAGACCTTGTACTGAGAAGAACCGGCAAGAAACTCAGTTTTTTTTCTCCCTGTATTATATACAGAGTCGTCAATTTGAAAAATGACTTTAATATGAGATAACTCATGAAGTCACTTTCCATTACAAATGTAAATGATAAAACAATTATGACTATAAAATAAAAAAAATATAAAAAACAGATTTAAAAAAAAATTTTAGGAATAATAACGAATACAAAGTGTTAATTTTGGAAATTAATAGCGTGTATGGTTGTATGGTTGTATCTATATGTAGCCTTGCTGTTCAAAGAGTGCCTTACTAAAGAGAACATTAATGAGGTGATAACGATGAGCACAGCCATCGAGTATCTCATCTTTATGTTTCGAACATAAAACAAAATATTAGCTTTGAAAAGTGAGAAGATTTAAAGAACAATTTTTTATCTCCTCGCCTAATTGAAAGCTAAAATTTGGTTTTAAGTCTATATAGAGATAAGAAAGCAATGTCCACACTAATCTTGAATTTCTCAAATTTCTAGGATGTTAAGCAACTTACACTAAATGGCCGGTCATCGGATATGTAACCAATATTTATTATCTCGAGCTCCTTCATACTTCAGACACGTTAGGATGTTGGTTTCGGCTGCATTTTCAGTCTTAGCCAATCAGCATTGGGCGGGGGTGGTGCGTGATGTCGCAGTCTCCAAATTCCAACCACAGGGATCGCCTGTGCTCCAGCAGTGGGGACATTAAATTAATTTGTGGTGAAGGTGCCGACTCAACATCTGGCGACTTTCATGAAGGAAGATCTTTGGCCCAAAGGTGTTGTGTTCCGGCAGTTCCGAGGCCGGTTACCTGACACCACTTCGCGTTACACGTCGCGGTCTATACGTGTTAGTAAGGTGTTTACTAACATAGTTATTAATTTTATTTACTAACACCAACAATAATGTTTTATATTTGTATATACATAATATTTTAGACTATAAGGTATTTATCTATGTGCTTTTGTGCTTTGTAGCCTGAAAAAGACAATTAGAAGAAAGAAGAAAAATGTTTTAATTCTTGACAGCACATAACATACACGTACAATTCAAAAATACATATAACATAAAGTAAAACACAAAGTACAAACAAAAAAAGAAATTTACCACAACAAAAAACAGTTACAGATAATCAATGTGTATTTTATGTAATGCCAACACTGGATATGGCTCAGCTCATACACAGCAGATAAAATTCCTGCTGCACTGGTATTCTGCCAAACCCAGAGCAGTGACATCACAGAAAACAGAAGAAAGAAAAATACAAATCACACTAATATTATAAAGGCGAAAGTTTGTGAGTATGTGAGTGTGTATGTTTGTTACTTCTTCACGTCTAAACGACTGGAACGATTTTAATAAAATTTGGTGTGGAGTTAGCTGATACCCTGGATTAACACATAGGCTACATTTTACTGCGGGAAAATATCTTTGTACGAGCAAGCGCGTACATTGCCGACGCAGCGTTTCTTTATTAACCTAATTTACGTATAATTCATAATTTATTTTGCAGCGTTCAGTTCGCATTCCGTCATCAATCATACCACGCGTCCTCATTAGTTTAATCAGTTTATAGTAAATCAAATATATCCTAGTTTCAAAGTTATTTACAGTTTTATTATTTCATCAGTTTTATCAGTTTTTATGTTACGGGCTCCCCGTACATTGGTCCTTCGAAGCTTTTCGGAAAAGCGGGATCAGTACACACGTGTCGCGTGTGAGTGAACTTTATCGCATACGTGTCTCAGGTTCCGTTACCGAACTATTGAATCAGTGCAGATACAGTACATTCAGCAGTTACTACCAAATATATAGACCTTAATCAGTGAATCAGGATTACCAAGTGCAGTGCAGAACAAGTTTTCGGATTTTCAACATTATCAGCGACAGCAAAGGATACGACTCATCTTCCACGGGTCGTAAGCTTAGTCGTAAGCCACACAGCATCAGTATATCAAGTAAGATCTGTCCATTTATACATTAACAGTAATGTCATCTGTCAGTGACATCTCTGCAAATCTTCAGCAGCTCGCGGCGGCGATTGAAAATGTGTATACCAATTTCAAAAAAGACGGAGCTAGCAGGAAAACCGCCGACTACATCAAGAAAAGATTGGATATACTCGATAGTTACTGGGTTGAGTATGAATCCAATTATTCCAAGTTATCAGCTTTTGAGTTGGAGCCATCGATGAGAGACCATGTAAACAGTGATTTGGAGAGAGTGCGAGAAAGGTACGGTAATATCAGAGCTCATATTCAAAGTTGTCAGGTGACGGCTGAGGAGAGACCTTCGTCACCTCTTATCAAGCCACCAACATTTTTGCCGAATCCGAGTCAGGGCTTCACACAGCCGAGCAGTAGCAGAGCAGTTCAAAATACATCAACTGCAACGTCAAGTGTATTTGAGGGCATGCTAAAGAAGCAACAGAGCAACTTTAAGGCGTTCCACAGGACTGTTGTAGGTATTGATCTTGAAACAGTGAATGAGAGATGGGAATTTGAAGATCTGCTCCACAGCATCCAATCTAGGTGGGCCGCAATCGACACACTGCATTGGGAGTTAGATAGTCACTCCAATGAACCTAATCAAGAGTATGAAAAAACATATACTTCTTATGAAAGTAAGTACCAGTTTGTTAAAAAAGCCATTAACAAGAAAATGTGGTCTATGGCCCACAGAGAAAAGTCTACACCTCAGATGGAGATCCCAACATTCAGCGGGAATTATAATAATTGGGTATCTTTTAAAGATTTATTCAGTGAAACAGTACATAATAATAACTCGTTATCTAACGCACAAAAAATGCAATATTTGAAGTCTAAAGTAAAGGGCGAAGCAGAGAGATTAATCCAACATTTAAACATTAGCTCTGATAATTACTTAGTTTGCTGGGATATATTAAATCAAAGATATAACAATAAAAAACTTATATTTAGTTCCCATATGAATATTTTGATGGGCCTTCCCACTATGCAACACCAATCGGCGAGTCATTTAAAACGTATTCACGATACTATACAGGAAAGTCTGAATGCGATAAAAAATTTGGGAGTCAACATTTCGTCATGGGACCCCATTATAGTACATCTATTAACTCAGAAATTAGATACAGTTTCATATACAGACTACATGGAATCATTGCGTGATCCGAGAGAAATACCAAATTTGAAAGAATTTTTACAGTTTTTGGAAGCCAAATTTACGTCATTAGAAGCTTCAAGAAGGAAACCGGAAATTCCGATGCAAAAAAATCATATTACGAATAAAAACGAATATTATAATATCAGTAAACAGCGACCCAGTTACTATAAAAATGCATTTGCAAGCAGTAAAATAAATCCACAAGTACCTAACTACAAAAAGAACGTATCAGCTAAAAGTTACTTTTGTGTGTTGTGCAATAGTACAGACCACGGAATTTATTTCTGTCCACAATTTTTGGAAATGACGCCTCAAAACAAGTTAAACACTGTTAAAAAATTAAATCTTTGCCAAAATTGTCTATATAATCATAAGGGTCAACAATGTCTATCTGAGAATTTTTGTCGTCTTTGTAATAAGGCTCATAATCGCCTACTTCACGAGGCATTCACGCAAACCGCCCGCCCAATCACACAGAACGTCCGCGGCGGGCAGAATTCGAACACGCGTGAGTGTAGGGCCGCTGACGCAACTATAAATGCTGACGCGGGAAGACAAGTCAGAAGTAGCTCACACGTGTCGCTGCAAGGTGACCAGTTCGAAGTTTTGTTACCAACCGCCATTGTTAATATTCAAGCCGCGGATGGTTCCTATTATGCCATGCGCGCCCTATTGGATCAGGGTTCACAAACGTCATTGATATCAGAACATGCAGCACAGATCTTGAAAGTACCTAGAAAACCATGCAAGGGTGTTATATCTGGGATTGGTGATAAAGAGAGTAACTGTAAGGGTATTATAAATATCAGATGTTCATCAGCTGTTAGTGACTTAACTTATCAAACAGACGCTTTAATAATGAATCAGTTGATAAGAAATTTGCCAAGCTATACATTTTCAAAGCCAGATTGGTCATACTTGGATCATATAAAACTAGCAGATCCTGAATTTTATAAAAGCAGGCCTGTAGATGTTTTATTGGGCGCTGATATTTATTCTTTTATATTAATGGATGGAATGTGTAAATCAGACGCGAGCCTCCCCACTGCTCAACAAACGCAGCTCGGGTGGATATTAAGTGGCAATGTAAGAACTATTCAATGTAATGTGGTTTTGCACAATATCGAACAAATACAGAAATTTTGGGAGATAGAGGACATATCAGAAAAATCAGAAGTATCATCAGAAGACGAACAATGTTTACAGTTTTATCAGTCAACTACTATCAGACGTTCAGATGGGAGATACGAAGTTAGGTTGCCACTTAAAACCGGATATGAGAACAATTTAGGTAATTCAAAATCTAAGGCGGTTGCACAGTTTTATAAGTTACAAAAGAAATTACAATTAAATTATGTGATCGCGAGAGATTACAAGCAGTTTATAAATGAATATTTATCACTAGGCCACATGACACCGTCAGCTGTAGATTGCAATATGAAACTCAGGTGCTATTTACCTCACCACTGCGTAACAAAAGAGGACTCTACTACAACTAAATTACGGGTTGTATTTAACGCATCAGACAAAACATCGTCTGGGCTCAGTCTAAACGACGTTATGTGCCGCGGCCCGAATTTACAGCAGGATTTACAATGTTTAATTATTAAATGGCGGCAATATGAATTTACTTTCACGGCCGATATAGAGAAAATGTTCCGGCAGATATGGATAAATAAAGATGATCAG